GGCGATCAACGAACAACGAGACGAAATGTACCGAATGATTACCGAGCAGCGAAACACGATTGGCGAACTACGCGAGGTGATTTGCAAGCAGCACGACGCGATTCAAGAACTACATCGCCAACTTGCAGACACCAGGACCCAGCTGTCTGAAGAACTGAGACAAGCGCGGGATCAGATTGATACCCTTCAACGCCACCCGGTAGCCATGGCTTCGTCCCAACCAAGCGCAAGAGGGTCATACGCCGAAGTCGCTCGCACCCCACCATCAAGCCAGCCAAGCGGTGTGCGCACCCTCTCCTCGCGAAACACGACGCCTTCATCCTTTACCGACACGTTGTTCTGTACGATCGATACATCTAGAGTGGAGGAGAAAGAGAAGGGAAACGTCCAGGTGGCGGACATTAGAAAGGCAATCGAGACAGAGGCCAGGGCACAGGAAAGCATGGGAGACTGGCGTTGCGCTGCGGTTGTGAAGGAGGCCCGAAACCCGGACCGAGTCAGAGTAATTTGCCAGGGACGAAGGCGAGGTCCAGCTCGTCAAGGAAGCGGCAGAGAAGATCAGTGTTCCTGGAGTGCGGGTATTGAGAGACCAGTTGTACCCGGTGAGGGTAGACAATGCCAACCGGAACAGCGGTCCTCGATGCGGACGGGAAACATCCTGCCGGGAGCCGCAGAGGCGCTAGGGACAGAGAACGACGTCAACATTGCGAAGATTGCCTGGCTCAGCAGGAAGGATACAAGCAAGGCCTACGGCTCGATGGTTGTCTACGTGACGAAGGGCAGCGAAGCAAGGCGACTTCTAGACGGGCGTTACTTCCATCTCGCCGGAGAATCCGCTTACACGACCGTTTTCGCGCCCCGGGAAGGCCCAATCCAGTGCTACAGATGCCAGGAGATCGGCCATAAGGCCTTCGCCTGCAAAAAGCCGCAAAGATGCGGAAGGTGTGCGGAACAGGGTCACCACCACAAGACGTGTCAGTCCGTGGTCCTGAAGTGCGTGCTATGCAGAGGATTCCACACGAGTCATTTAGCAAGAACTGTCGGGTACGCTGGTTGAACAATGGGGCCCAAGACGCTTAAGATCCTTCAGCTCAACGTCCGCAAACGGAGAGAAGTGCAGCAGAGTCTGCTAAACGACGAGGGACTCAAGGACTTCGCAGTGCTGGCCATCTCCGAACCATATGCCAGGCTGATCGAAGGCTCGGTGACGACGGTCCCAATGAGTCATCACAACTGGACGAAGCTTATACCAACGACAAGACGAGAAACCACGTGGCCAATTCGGAGCATGCTATGGGTACGAAGCGATATAGAGGTCGAGCAGATTCCAGTGCCGTCGGCAGACCTCACCGCAGCACGCATTCGGCTCCCAGATCGGGCAGTCGCTGATGGTGTCAGTGTATGTGGAGGGTGGTAGTGACGATAGCACTGGAAGATGCAATGAGGGAAATTGACCGACTGATTAGGAGGTTTCGAAACGGAACAGGGACGAGAACGGATATCATCCTGGCGGGCGATTTTCAACCGCCACGACCAGCTTTGGGGAGGGGACGATGTCTCACCACGGAGACAAGGCGAGGGAGACCGCATCATCAACCTCATGGACGAACACTCCCTCTGCAGCCTCCTCCCAAGAGGCACGAAGACGTGGCAGTCAGGCGACATTGAGAGCACAATCGACCTGGTACTGGCCTCTGCAGAACTAGCAGACCAACTACTCAGATGCACGATTCACCCCTGCGACCATGGCTCAGACCACAGAGCAATCGAGACAGCTTTTGACACCACGGTGGAGGACCGTCCCAGTGAGACGAGGTTCCTCTTCAAGAACGCGCCCTGGGCGGAAATTAGGACTAGGGTGGCAGCAAACCTCGAACGCATCCCCTGGGACGGCAATGTCCAGCAGCAGACGGACAGGCTCATGGCAGCGGTAACCGAGGCGGTCTACGGCCTGACACCTAAAGCCAAACCCTCACCATACGCCAAGCGGTGGTGGACAACGGACCTGACACGGCTTCGCCAGACATACACGTTTTGGAGAAACCAGGCGAGATCTCGACGTACGGATTGGGCAAACAGCACCAGAGCTCGAACAACGAGCCAGGATGGCAGCCAAAGAGTACCACGACGCCATCCGCAGACAGAAGAGTTCGCATTGGAACGACTTCCTGGCCGATGACGCTAACATTCTGGCAAGCAACGAAGTACCTGCAAACCGGCAGCGGCACGATGGGCGATAAGATACCCCCGCTCGTCCGACCCGATGGCTCCATCACGGAGGGTAAAGCAGAACAAGCGCAGGAGTTACTCACCGCCTTCTTCCCACCTTTGCCAGCGAGAATCGAAGACGAGGGCCAACGACCTCAACGGGCGCCGGTACACATGCCAGACCTAACAATGGAGGAGATAGAACAAAAGGTCCTGTCCGCTAAGCCATGGAAGGCGCCCGGGGAAGACGGTCTACCGGCAATGGTATGGAGACAGCTCTGGCCAGTGGTCAAAGACAGGGTGCTCCATTTATTCCGGACGTCGCTTCGAGACGGCGACATCCCCAGCCAGTGGAAGAATGCCAAGATCATCCCATTGAAGAAGCCAGGGAAGAGCGATTACACTCTAGCCAAGTCCTGGAGACCCATCTCGCTGCTCTCCACGCTAGGTAAGATACTAGAGGCAGTCATTGCGGAGCGTTTATCCCATGCTGTGGAGACCTGCGGCCTTCTACCCGCCAACCACTTCGGAGCCAGGAAGAGACGCTCGACCGAACAGGCTCTCCTTCTGCTTCAGGAACACATCTACAAAGCATGGAGAGCTAGGAAAGTGCTCAGTCTGGTCAGCTTCGATGTCAAGGGCGCATACAATGGGGTCTTCAAAGACAGGCTTCTCCAGAGGCTCAAGGCAAGAGGGATACCTGAATCCCTGGTCAAGTGGATCGACGCCTTCTGCTCCAAGCGCACAGCGACCATTGCCGTAAACGGGTTCACATCTGGACGGCAAGAGCTGCCCCAAGCGGGTCTTCCGCAAGGATCGCCGCTGTCTCCAGTGTTATTCCTCTTCTTCAACGCCGACCTAGTGCAGCACAAGATCGACGCGAACGGAGGCGCAATTGCCTTCGTGGAACGACTACACTGCCTTGGGTAACGGGCCCGTTCAGCGGGAGTCGAACCGCACTGGAATCCAAGCTATCATCGACAAAGCCCTTGACTGAGGAGAAACGGAGCGGTGCGCAGTTTGAAGGCGAAAAGACAGCCATCATACACTTCACGAGGAACATGGAGCGATTTTCAGAACAACCGTTCTCGGTCAAAGGCGAAGTGGTCAAACCGAAGGAAAGTGCGAAAATCCTAGGTGTCGTGATGGGATCGCGAACTCCGCTACAAGCAGCACATTGCTAGGGACGGCAGCTAAGGGCCTCGCAGCCGCTCTGGCCCTGAAGAGGCTGAAGATGCTTTCCCCGCGGACAGCGAGACAGCTATTTGTTGCGACAGTAGCCCCGGTCATGGACTACGCTGCCAATGTCTGGATGCATGCGTGCGGGGAAAAGGCGACTGAGCTGGCTGAACAGGGCGCAGAAAATCGGGGCCCTGGCCATCACGGGAGCCTTTCGAACCGCGGCAACAGCCGTGGTGGAAGCTGAAGCGAGCATCTACCCCGTACGAGAACGACACGCCCAGGCGGCAGCCAGTCTGTGGATCAACATCCACACGCTGCCCGGAACGCATCCCCTTGCCATGAAGAAAGTCCGGAACACCGTACGATTCGTATCTCCGCTGCAGAAAATTGCCCGTGTGGCCGAAGGAGTACGAGTTGACCGGATGGAGACAATCCAGGAATACGCCGTCCCGCCCTGGGTACCTCGCCTACGACCGACGCTCGAAGCCGATCGAGGGAAGGCGGCCGAGATGGTCAACAAAATTTCGGGAATCGTGATCGCAACCAGCTCATCCGTAAAGAAGGGCATTGTTGGCATGGGCGGCCTTGCACGGGATACTCTCTTCAACAGAACTAGCGAGACTGTGACAAACTATGCTGTTGTTCTTGGGACAAGGGAAGAGCAGAACCCATATACAGCAGAGCTAGCAGCCATCGCAATGGCCCTGGAGAAGTTACCGGCTAGCATCTGCCACAGGCACATCACCGTGATCACTAGGAACCAGTCAGCGCTGGCAGCAGTTGGACAGCCGCGGCAGCAATCCGGCCAAAGCATCATACGGCAAATCTACGACTTGGCCAGGCTGCACCGACAAAGAGGGAACTCGGTCAACTTTCTGTGGATGACCAGCGGAGATTGACTTCGCGCTGGGGTCAGATGCCAAGGCAGCAGCCCAGAGAGCGTCGAAGCAAGGACGCACACCCGACTCCCAAATACCCCAGGCCAAGTCTACCGCGATGAGGCTGGCAATGGAAAGACAACGGGCGACAAGAGTTCTACCTGTAAGCGTGGGCAAGTTCTCAAAGGCCATGGACGCAGCACTACCAGGCAAGCACACGCGCCATCTCTATGACAAGCTGAAGCGAAGGGAGGCCTGCGTATTGGCGCAGCTCCGAACCGGAATGGCGAGACTAAACGGTTTTTTGAGCAGGATTGGGGCGGTCGAGTCAGACCTTTGTGCCTGTGGACAAGCGAGGGAATCAGTGGAACACTTTCTTTTCCGATGCTTGAGATGGACAGCTCTGAGGGAAGACATGCTGCAATGCACAGTGGCAAGACGAGGAAGCCTCTCGTTCTATCTGGGAGGGAAAGCGCCATCAGATACAAGGCATTGGTCACCAGATATGAAGGCAGTCCGGGCGACGATCAAATACGCAATGGCAACAGGAAGGCTGGAGCTGAATGAGGAGGAGAGTCTAGACCAGTCACAGTAGAAGAAGCCGACACTCAACACCACGAGCCTCAACCACGAGCCTTAACCAGCAGGGTCCCGTTTTAACTGCTGAAGATAGGACGCTGAACACTTGGAGAAAGTAGCCTCCAAGTTGATCTGCTAACAACAACCAAGGCAAGAGGTAAATGGTGCAGCGAGAAAGAGGGAAGAAGTAGGGGGCTTGTACGAGTTAAAGGCAAACCGATTTGATCCGGATGTAGTTAGCGTGCTAAGGCCCTATAGGCCCAGTGCCTCCGGGCGAAATAAATTCCATCCATCCATCTAACGACGTCCTCGACACCTGAACCACAGGCGCCGCCAGCGACGAGCGCTCAGTCTTCCTCAGTCAGACACATCACGGACCCGATGGTATCGATGCGTTGAGATCGTCTTGCCTTTCCCATACTTCCCGGCTAAATCACAACGATAATTCCGAAACGGACCTCCGTGATTATGCAAGTGAAGTCGCGTACGGTCAGTTTACGGCTTCATTTATGCTTTCTGCTATGTCCGACTTCGATAGCCGGTATTCACTTTCACGCAATATCTGTTTCATGTGTCGGCCAAAGGTCCATAGTTATGTCCTGCAAATATGTGTTCCAGGTATCGAAAGGAGACCAAGGCGCGATATCCCGGGCCACAATCGACCCGGGTATCAGCGGTCCGCCACTAACGGAACCCAGATCTACCAGGTCGCTAGGGACCCAAGAAGCCCTCTCACCCGTCGGGTCTGCCGTTGCAATATCTCTCGTAGTGGTGGACGCTGCTGCGGTTATGTCCCCCATTCCCTGAGCATGGGCAGTCATGCCGGCCGTAGGAGCGGCCTCCTGAGGGCGTGCGTTAATCTCTGACGCCCTTTCTAACAGTTGAGCCAAGTTACTCGCTCCCACGGCGGCCATGTTGCTCGCCGCAGAAAGCATGCTTAAGCGCTGGTGCGCCGCTTTGGCGGCCTGCAAACACTCGGGCTGCGTAACGACACACATTCTCCTGTGTAAAGGGTCGGCTTTGAGCGTACCAGGGCGGGGGATGTGATGTTGGGGGATTTCTTCTGGGAAGGTCGGATCCATGGACAGAGAGACAAGAAGCACAGCAGCTTCGAAGATCGAAAACACGAGCCCGGAAATACGGGTTAAGCAGCCCCCAAACAAGGTCTGTATTTGCGTGGCGCTGTCCAGGACATGTAGCGCGGCGGCGGCGAGCTTCCTCTTGTGCAGGCTCAGTAGCATCGACTTGTACGGGTCGAGGGGTCCAATCCGCCTGACAAGCAGTGGCCTGAAATTCCAACACATCGACTCGTAGATAGCCAGGTAAAGAAGCTTCCGCTGTAGCGGCAGCTTTGGAAAACGATTATCCCACGTCTCGTCGGGATCAACGAGGGCAAAGGCGGACGGTAGCTGAGCGAGGTAGTAGCCACAGAATCTGTCATACCGCGCTTCCGCTGCCATCGTGTCGTACTCTGTGCCTTGTGTGGCACCAATGCCGCGCCAGAACTCGGCTAGGTCGGCTTGGAGGAGACGCTCGGTGAATTGATCCGGCACGTCGCCGGCAGCTGGTTCTATGCCATCTCCACTTCGCAAGAGGTCCAGTTGTGGCCGGTTCCCCGGGCGAAGGCGTCCAGGAAATAGAGGAAGGCGATCGAGCTGGCGAGAAAGCAGACTGTCCCAGATATAGAGATTACAAAATGTTCTGCGTTCCATCTCACGAATTGTCTCGTTAGAGGATTCCCATGGACTCCTAGGAGCATCGCGATGTATTCCGAGATTCTGTGCGGCCCGGATGGTGCGGTTCAAACCCTCCCAGAAAGCACTCGTACTACCTTCCACTTGATGTTGGAGGCTGAGGAAAGCTAGATGCTGGACGCGAATCAGAGAGGCTCGGCTATCCGTTGCTGTGCTGATGGCAGCGAGGTTATCGACTATCTCATCGCAGATGTTCCGGACATCAGAGAGTAGGACCCCGCGTATTTTGTCGAGAGGGTAGGTAGGCGACGGAAGAAAGCGCAAAGTGTAGGCGCAGACGCGCAAAATCAGGATAACAAAATCCAATTCTGCTATGAGTGTCACCCGTTCTTGCAGCCACCATGAGTGATACTTTGGCAAGAACCAAGGAACTTGCACTAATTGGTCCATCCTGTTATCCGAACTTGGGTCAGACGGTTGAAGGGGAGGCCATGCCGGAGCGAATAGGGGTAGTGGTGAGGAGAACCAAGGCGACGAACCAGTTTACTTCGGCTATAAAATATTGGACTAGAAAGTCCACTATCTGACGGTCGGGCATCCGCTCCATGTTGCGATAAATCTCGTCGGCTACCTCGGGGCTGAGGGTAGGGGGATTGTCAGGAGCACTGTCAAAGCCGTCCAACCGCAGCTGAAAATCGAATCGGATCAAATTAACGTCTTTCATTTCATTACTTTGCATACGGTTCGACCTCGGGGAAACTGAGGTAACTGGCATGATCCTCACCTTTCGAATTAGAGCTAGCGTGTTGCTGGAACTGCCTTCAGAGTAACCAAACGCTTCCGCCAACGGCAAACCGGACCATGGCCCAGTGGCTGTCGCTGGTTTAGCCGCGTTTGTTTTACACTCCCTTCGCGAACTTGACAGTTGCGAACCAGTTGGATTCTTTCCACTCTCCCGTGGTCTCTCCTCGGTTTCGGACTCCGGAAAGGCACTCGGGCTTGCCGGCTGGATGTCTATCGTACAGTGATAAACACATTCCTCGACACACTTTCGCCGAGTACAATGATTACAAGGGGATTCTCGATTGCACTGTGATATATTAGACTACCTGCCCAAAGTTTCAGATCCCTTTGTGCAACTGCGACGGGGAAGAAAGGGCGAGAAGTCTGACCTTTTGTTTCCTGGTATAGCAGGGCATGCAAGAAGAAATAACACGTTTGCGCGGATTCATTGTTAACGTGATACCGCAAAGCTCACTATTAACGGCGGCATTAAGAAACGATAGGAGAGAAAAGAAATAATCACAAAGTAAATCTCCATCTTATTACCTACTCATAGTTAGCAGATGGGGACTGCAGCTTCTTATTTGTCAGCAGCTGAGCTGACAAATTCCCCTAGGCATCAAGGAAGCTAGCAAACATTGAACATGCACATTCGAGTAAGGGAGGTTGCGTTCGGCTCACCAAATGATATCTAGCCTTATGAAAAACCTAAACTTGACATTGAAGGAAGTAATCTCAAGTGCATATGGAAAACCAACACTGACTAGTCTCACAGGGGCAATAAACAGCGTATCAAGGCAATAACTACATACATATTATTAACAAGGTGCTCCTTCTTGCCCGATATAATTTATATCACCAAGAGAGCAAACTACCACGGAACATTGGTCCCATCATACACATTCCACTTTCCTTCTCGAGGTTTCTCCCAGCCCTTAAACAAAAAACCCTTAGTAAGGTGACCCAACTTGTTGCTCCTGTCCCTCCCTTTAAAAATAATGTCCAACGAAGACCTTGGGCCCCCTCCTTCGGGCGGTCAAGTCGGCCATGTCACCGCCTCCTAGGTCAGTTTTCATCCACTAAACAATATCCATTATCAGCGTTGAGTCTTGTCGAAGAGGGGAAAAGGAAGAGCATACGCCCGGGGCAGAGAGCGATGAAGGAAAATCCTTCCCTCTCGTACTCGAGAGCGTACTGGACGGTAAGCGCATTCATGGCTGTCTTCGAGATCTTGTAGGCGGGCGCCGGGAGCGCAGCACCTGCACCGGCTAGCGCAATGGAACCCAGTGTGGTGGAGCTGGGTCACTGTCAGGGCCTGAAGCGATGAAGTAGGGACTTTGAAGGCTTTCTCAGCTTACATATTGGCAACCTTCTTGAGGGTGCCTTTTTTCAGAAGTGGCAGGAATTCACGAGTGACCCAGTGGACACCCAAGCACGTTGATGGCGAAGCTGCTCTCGAGATTATCCCTAAAGGAAACTTAGCACACCGTGACATCGAACATTTCAGGCAGCAAAGGCTCACATTGTCGGGACCCCACCAGGCGCATATTGACACACTCCGGCATTGTTTATCAGGATGTCCAACCCCTTGCCTCCAAGCTTCGATTCGACTTGGGCTGCGGCCTTGTTGATGGAGGCTTGGTCGGTGACATCAAGCTGGAGGAGGATTACCCGGTCAGGGAACTTTTGGGTGAGCTCGTCCAACGCAGGGGAATCTCCCCGCGCAGTCGCAAATATTCTGCCAATGTTGGAGGCGGGAAAGGAAATAAGTTCGCGAGCTAGCGCAAGGCCAAACCCTCGAGAGGCGCCAGTGATGAGAACGGAAGACATTGTGATCTTGATGAGTAAAATTGGAGGGTGGTGTAGGGTGAATTGTTGATGTGATACCGAGAGTGCTGACGAACAATGATTCTTTTAACTGATCACCTTTTACACTATCGTCGTCGGTCCATCGGTGCTGAGCCAAATCCATATTTGTCAGCCAGTGGCCGAGAAACAGCCAAACTCAGCCAGACAACAGCTGAATGAACCCTGTGGGACAGTTCAAAAGCTTTCATCATTGGTCAAGTTCGAGCGGTCGGACTCAGAGATGGTGTGGAAAGGCATGCAAGACCCCGAAAGAGCTTGAGGGCACGTTCACACTGCCGAGTTCAAGACCTCTCTCATTGGACCATTGCACAGGAATCAGGATGTCACTTTGCAAGGGGTTCCCCGCCGACAGCCGACGCCCGATGCGATGCCCGATAAACGACAAGGCACTTTTCGCCAACGTGCCCTGGTTTCATTTCCATCGGCCGATGACCCGATTAGTATATGCTCTATCGGCCGATGGCCCGCTTGATACAGATTTGCATGGCGCGTCAAGCGGCTCAAGAGACCACAAGACTCCATTTACCAGTGCCGGCGTGGCTACCTACCTTAGGTACCTAAAGTTGACGAAATATTCAGAACCAAGCAAAGACTACACAAACTACTTGGATAGAAATTCGTGAGAAAGCAACAGAGTCTGCCCCGCCAAGCCCCAATACAATTGGATGGAAACCCCCTTACTATCCACGGTCAAGAGTACACTGCCACTTATTGCCCATGCACTTTCAGCGATCTAGGACGTTAGTTTCATTAACTGGGTAGAAATGACAGGTACCTAATAGTAATGGGATGCATCTTATCGAAGATGATTCTCCGCCCCATACACATCACCATTCACGACACTCATTTATATCGAATCTAGGAAACCAGACTATCTGCAGCAATACGCTGAAGTTGAGAAAGGGACGTGGCTTGCTGATTTGCGTGTCCTGTTTGGTGTGCCAAGCACGGGCTGTTGTCCGAGGAAGTCCGAGGTGCCCCCAAAAACAGGACTGAATATTGATAGTAGTTGACACCCAGGTCTGTCAACTCATTCGCCAGATTGGAGACTGTATCTTGCAGATAGGGACCTCTTGGCTATTGTAGTTTTCGGGACCTGCAAGTCTTCTGTGCCGGGATTTCGTTACCTATTACGGACTGCCATTCGCCCGTCCAGGCCTAGATTCCAACCACGCCGCATGATGCAGTAGCTCCATCACGCCCTGAGTCCAATTGGCAGCTGTGCCGTATAAATCCGGGACGGCTCGTTGAATGTGTGCGTTCACACTAAACCTTGTTAGTTAATTAAGGGCTTGCTCGAGGGGGTTTGTGCAACCGCCGTTGACCGGAGAAGAGTACATTTAGCATTTACCAGACCCTAGCCGTCCTATGGAACTCGGAGTGCCGTCCGTGCCAGCTGGACTCGCCTCTCCAAAAGATCGCTCATCATGCGCATCAAAGCTGTTATCGCTGTTTACCTCGCCAGTGTCCTTACCGGCAGCTCGGCCACGGTTGACTTTGCTAAAAACGGACAGCCTTCGCGCCGTGATGACACATACGACTTTATCATTGTCGGTGGAGGCATATCGGGATTGGTTGTTGCTAATCGATTGACGGAAGACCGCGTTAGTATGTCATCCCAAGGACCTTTGGGTCCGCAGCTTCGTTGGCACATACATGGCTTAATTGACACTGGAACTCGATGATAGCTTCTGTGCTCGTGATTGAACGAGGCGACTTTGACAACAAGCCCGAGGCTATCATCCCTTACTACGGGAATGCTCTTGATACGAGCGTTTTAATGCGCGTTCCGTCTGCCCCCGACGAGAAACTTGGGAATTTGACTTACTCGGTGGCTGCCGCAGCTGTGGTTGGCGGTGGTTCCATCGTCAACGGCATGGGCTATAACCGCGGAAGCAAAACCGATTACGATGGCTGGGAAGCTCTCGGGAACCCAGGCTGGGGCTGGGACGGTTTGTTCCCCTACTTCCTCAAAAGCACCACCTTCATACCTCCCTCCCCAGAGGCCACTGTGCAATGGAATATCACTTGGGATGCGTCAGCCTACGGCAACGGTCCGTTGCATCTGCACATCCCCAACTTCCAATACCCTGACGTAGCAACTTTTTGGAATGCCTTCCAAAGCGAACCCAATCTTGTCACGGGTAGAGGGTCGAATTTGGGAGCCACTACTGGTGCGTTTTGGAACCCAACCAATATCGACGCGCGGGATATGACACGGTCGACGGCACGAAAAGCCTATTACGATACAGTAAATGCTACACGTACGAATCTCCACCTGCTTCGGGGTCACACCGCAACCGAGATCCTTTTTGCGCCTGGGAAGCAGCTAAGGGCAAATGGAATACGAATCGTCTCACGGCTTGATAACACGACACACAATGTCTACGCAAAGAAGGAAGTGATTCTTGCCGCTGGGGCTCTGATGACGCCGCAGCTGCTTCAGGCGAGTGGGATCGGCCCGGTTACCGTACTCAAGGCTGCTGGAGTCAAGGTGAAGAAGGACATGCCAGCAGTAGGGGCAAATTTCCAAGACCACCCAACCACCTTCATTACGTATGCCCTGGCGAACCAGTCATTCCCAAACCCGGATACCATCATGAAGAATGCAACCTATAACGCCACCGTATGGGACGAGTACTTCAACAACAAGACGGGGCCCATTGCTGCTTCAACCGCCACTACAATTCTGTATTTCAGCCGGCCCCAACTTGAATCACCGGCGGCAGCAGCAGCCCTCGTTACACGGCTCCTAGCACAGAAGTTATCAGCGTACCTTTCCACCTTCGTACGGAGCGTCCGTCGCGTTGGTACGCGGTTTCGAAGCGCAGCGGGCCGTTCTGGCGGGTCAACTCAACAGCTCGTCATCTGCCATCACCATGTGGGCTGTGAGCGGCAGCGGCGGTTCCGCGGCGTCGTTGTACAAACCACTATCCCGCGGCACTGTCACACTCAACCCGACCGACCCTAACGGGCTACCCATCGTCACTTACAACACTTTCATGAACCCAGTCGATAGCGAGAACGTAGTGGCCATCTTCCGGCGCCTACGCGCCTTTTGGCAAAGCTCCCCGCTGGCGCGCCTTGGGCCGTCCGAGGTGGCGCCCGGCCTTCAGTTCCAGACCGACGACGAGATCCTGACGGAGCTGACGACGAACCATGCCCTCTTCCGGCCGACGCTGGCCCACCCGTCGTGCACATGTGCAATGATGCCCGAGCATCTAGGCGGCTGCGTCTCGCCCGATCTTGAAGTGTACGGTGTTCGCAACCTGCGGATTGTTGATGCGAGTATCATGCCCATCATCCCGGCCGGGGGGCTGCAGGGGACTGTATATGCGGTGGCCGAAAAGGCGGCTGACTTGATTAAGAAGCCGGTGGATCGAATGATGAGTGCCAAGTGTTTCTTGGTGTTCAATGGTCAAGATTCGCATCATTCTACCCGTCATAGGCTGTTGCAGAACGAATATCCGGAAACTTTGCGGAATGTCTCCGACTTGAGTTAGCTTGGCTTTGCTGCTACGAATCGCTCGGACACATTCACAACGTCGCAAGCCCACAAGATGGAAACTTCCCGGCAGCTAACCGTAGATGTACTTTATCGGTGAATAAGAGTTGGGCATCGCACTGCCTTTGGTAATTTCATGACCTCGATCGCGTATTTATGATATCCTGTCGTGCTTGCTGAACCACTCACCTACCCGTAGTTTTGTTTCTTATTCTCCCGACATACAGCAACGACGCCATGGCTACCCTCAAAGTTTACGATGCCCTTATCATTGGCGGCGGTCCTGCCGGCCTATCCGCGGCTTTGGCACTGGCACGCGTTCGACGAACCTCGATTCTTTTTGACTCTGGTGACTACCGCAATCAAGGGACCCAAGCCATGCACAGCTTCCTTTCCCGCGACGGCGCCCATCCAGATGAGTTCCGTCACATTGCACGACAACAGATCCAGGACGTCTACTCTGAGCAGGCTTCGTTCATGAAGAGCAAAGTGGTCACAGTCGCGAAGACGGAAATCATATCAGGATATAAAGGATTCGAAGTGACGGACGACTCCCGCCAAACTTTCCGGGGACGGAAGCTCATTCTTGCCACGGGAACCGAAGACATACTCCCAACAGATTTGGAGGGATATAAGGATAACTGGCCAGCGCATATGTAAAATGACTTCAATTCCAAATCCCACTTCCTCACACCCTGACCAACCTTCTCTCACAGTTACCAATGCCCCTTTTGCGACGGCTACGAGCACTCCACCTCACCGATTGGCATCCTAACCTTCCCAAACCCAACCTACGCCCACCTCGCCGTTATGCTCCGATCCCTCAACAAATCTAACCAGCCCATCACAATCTTCACCAATGGCCCGATCCCTTCCGATGACGAACCCACCCTAGCAGCGCTGGCAAACCTCCTCTCCACGACCAGCGACATCCAAACTGACACGCGCCCCATCACCCGCCTCCTCAACAACGGTCCCGGCGCAGCCGGAATCACTCTCGAGTTTGCCACCGGCGACCCTACCACGCTAGGGATGCTCTTCCACCGGCCCGCGACGCGCAGCCGCGGGCACGCGTTAATCGCGCAGCTAGGACTCGAAACCAAGACGGGGACGCCCGAGGGGGAGGTTGTGGTGGTCGATCCTATGGTCTTGCAGACGAGTCTCAGGGGGTGCTTTGTCGCAGGCGATACCCATCAGATGATGAAGCAGGTTGTGGTAGCGGCCGCGGATGGGGTGAGGGCGGCTGGGGGTGTGGTGATGCAGCTTTGTGAAGAGGAGATGGGAAAAAAGGAAATAGAGGGCTAGGGGAAATACTAAACAATGAGAGATGGTCGATGATGCGTATCCATTACCAGAACATAGTCTATTGAATAGTATGCAGGCTTGAACTCATTATACCACCGTGACTCTACGGATTAGCTCGACGCAATGGCGTAGGAAGCAAGCCCGAGTCGCGGGTCTTTGCGCATACATTCCACTGCCGCACGCTCCAACTCCCGCTTAAAAACTTTTCCGGTAGCCGTCAAGGGCCAGCTCTTCATGCCAAGCTGTTCGAGTGTCAAAATTGTCCCTAGGGAATAGCTGGACCCTACAGCATTGATAAAATGCTCCCTCATATCGCCCGGACTGACCCCCTCAGGCAACCGCGCGACAATGGGGTAGGGCACATCGCCATTCATGGGGGAGGGAAGTGCAACTACGCAGGTCTTTCAATATCCATCAGCATACGTTGCAGCAGGAATAATAGTGCTTGAGTGAAAGGGTGAGGTAGGTGTTTACCTGGACATTGAACGCCGCACTGAGGCAGGACTCTATCGTGTGTGGTTGAATGATTCCGGTCACATTCCTGATCAGTTCTTTCTTGCGGCCCACGATGTATACATATCCGGCCTCGTCGAGAACAGAAATGTCGCCTGTCGTAAACCAAGGACCAAATTCATCCTCATAGAAGGTATCGCTCTTGCCCCCTGGCTGCGTGTGCATATACCGTTCGACGGTGCCCTCGGTGCCAACGTGCATCTCTCCCGCTTCACCGAGCGAAGCGACAAGTCCCTTCTCATTGACGACCCTAATCCTGGTTCCAGGCAGCGGCTTCCCACACGATACAACGCCGTTGTAGTTGGGGATGGGGTCGGGCACGCCACCAAGCCACCCAAATAAGCCTGCCACTTCAGACATGCCGAATCCAGGCAGGACGACGGGACCGGGGAGCACCTCGCGTGCCCTGCTCAAAAAGTCCTTGGTGATGATCTCCCCACCAAGGACAATCCGCCGCAACGAAGTGATCTTCTCGAGAGAGAAATTACGGTTCTCTAACAAGAGGCTGAGCTGCGTTCGCATCATACTGATATGAGTGATGCGACAAATCTCGATGGCGCCGATGACAGCGCCCCACGAGAGGTCGGAGCTGGGCAGGACGACGGTATTGCCGCTATTCCAGAAAACGTACGGCATCGTCGATGCCAGAGCGGCGAAATTACCCCCGATAATGACCCCAACGGTGGAGCCAGGTTGAGGGTCCGCCATAGTTGCTGTGCATGCGGCAAGGTTCTTAACTGTCTTAGGCACGCCTTTGGGCGTCCCGGACGAGCCGCTCGTAAAGAAGATCTGTGCCACGCGGTCAAGACGGTCATCCACGTCGGATGGGTTTATGGCGCTCTCGCTGTCGGTAAAGGACATCTCTGCAACATCTGCCAGGCTGATCCACCCGCGCCGCGGCTCGCTCAGGCGCGATAGGCACAGGCCTAGAAAAGGGGGGGTGGTATCGTTACTCGTGCGGGCTGGTTGGGGAGCCGCCTTGGTCTCGTCGACAAGTTGGGCGGCTGCTTCATCTTGCACGACAATGACAGCAGGCATCATGGCAAAGCAGGTGCGGAGCTCCGCCGTTTTTTCCGGCAGCCGGAGGGCCTGGGGCATCTGGCTGATGACGGTGAGGCATCTCACAGCAGACACCCAGAGCAACAGTGCCCATTCGGCGCTGTGGGGGATGAAGCTGAGCAGCGTGGAGTGCGGCGGCACACCATGGCGCGCCAAAACCGTCGCGAGACGAGCGGCGCCGCGTCTCATCTGGGCATACGACCAGGTGAGGATCTCGTCTGGGCCGCGCACCGCCGGCGACTGAACCAGACCTGGCCCAACAAGATGCCCCAGGTGGCCTGGCGGCTGTTGCGCCGAAATCAACGCAGCCCGGTCCGGGTTGACGTCGACGCCGTTCTGGAGAATGGACCAGACGGAGCTTCCATAGGGCGCTTGCGGCCCCCCATCAAGTTGAGCAAGCGATCTGGAGGGTGTCATATCGGATAAGAATGTTGTTCCTCAACTTTCCAAGGTAGAGTAAGGTAGATGGCGCCGATGTTCCGGGACCTTGATCGGGGCAGGTATGTGAGTGGCGTAAGCTACTTAATAAAGGGTCCTGTGTCACTGCGTTGGGCGCAAATGCAGCCACGTCGATCCGCCCCTAGCTGCCGAAGATCGGTGGCAAGTGGCTGGCTCGAGTTTACACCGCCGAGTCGAGAACGGGGTCTCACCTTCATCACGCGCTAATCGCGTCTACTTTCAGGAAAGATCATTGGCCGCTTCCCATGAGGAATGAACACACCAAGCCAATAATCTAGAGTGATCCGGACTTACACAGAAACAAAGAACAAACACTACATCTCCCCTCATTCATCACGTTGCTTACACGACAATCACAGGATGTTAACTCCTTGATGTCACACTCCTTCCACCTCTCCATCACTTCGTAATTTGGGTGATCCATGGTTTTCTAGATGACCCGGGGTTCTTTCAACATTCCATAGCAGATTTAGAGCTGATATGAGGATTCAAGCTTAACTTGGATCGGCCAATTTCATGCACACCTATTAGAGTATTAAATCCACACCAAGGACCAGACGCTCTCGATGTAAGAGAGATGTCACGTGCGGCGGTCGAAATTTAAGTATATTCCGAGAGAGAATGGGCGGCACCGTTCTGGATACACATGGAGAAGTACGAACATGCGTAGTCTCGATCAACATCGACGATAACAAGACGCCGCATTGTGTCAACACAACGATAATGTAAAAAAAAAGACAAGTAGTACCTAACATCTTGGGGATGGTAATTCCACAATTATGATTTGGATCTGGAACGGGCCCATGACCGGGCCCGTCATATAGACACCTCGGTACCTGGCTTTGTTCGAAGCATAGGTACCTACGGTACCGTAGGTGCCTAAGTACTCAACCATGAGTAACCATTTGGGAGAAGCAATAGTTGAGCAAAACGTACACTAGCCCACCAAAGTCCCACCCAGTTTTGGAAGAACGTTCGTAACTTTTAGGGGTTGTTGTATCTCAGGGGACACTGTGGGGCACGAGTTGGAGACGTCCTTGCTCAACCAATTTGTCAATTTGGGTCGGTCTGACAAATGAAGGGGCCACAATCGGACTCCGGAAACCGGACAGTGATCCGATTGTTGTCGATGGTGTCAGCAGCTCACTTAGCGACCCCTGTTCGCACCTTTGATTTATGACCACCGGTCCACCGATAGTTCTCGGCCACAGCGTCCATCATCAACTTGTGTCACCCGTCATACATATGTTAGCGTGTGTCATTACCCCTGTGATGTTTATGGAGTTACAGGTCCATGACCACGGCTCTATGGTTCGGGATTTAAAGGTTCTGGGAAAGATGGTAGGCGCACATTAATGCGAAGCAGACTGGACTTGATTATGCCTGGCAAAATGTGTTGCTTCGTGGGTGTCCAGCGATTGAAAACTTTATTTAGTACCTCTAACGAGCGGTCACTGAACACAACGCTTAAGAAGCCAATACTAGGTACCTTAGTACAGCATATACTATGCAAATACAGAAGCGTGAAACACCCAAAAGACAAAGCTACACGCAGCAACATAACCGTCAATACAGTGACAATTTGTCAGCGGAGCCCAACTTCAACAGAGGTAGGTAAGGTAGTCACAAAATCCCGGGAGCAACGATATCCCTCCTGTAACACATGTCATATTTGTCATCACATGTGTCTTGGTCAGGGGTTGTGGGCCATGAGGGGAGAGTCGTTGTAATCAGTTGAACTCACTACATACATGCCTTTGACGTCTGGACGGGGGGGGCCAATGGTAGTTTATAGGGATGGCGTGACTGGCACGTGGAAAGGTCTGTTTGGCAACAGGAAGGCGATGCCAAGGCGAACCGGATCGATCCCTCGGGTCAGGGATTCTAAGCCTTTAGTACATACAACAGTGGCTCACGCCCCAGTTCAATGGCTTTTATACTAAGCTGAATACGTCATCCTCTGGGGCAACCGTACTCGGTCTTGTTATTCGAGCAAACGTACCCCGAACCTTGGGTGTGAGTAATCCATAATCTCGCAAGCTTCGCCCGCTGCTAAACGAATGTGCTCGCCAGCTCCGCCTTCCTCGAAAGGAAGGTCTTTACACCTCGGGGCAACTTGAATGCCGGAAGATGAGCCAAGGCCGGGCCGAGAACTAACGGTTGAAAAGTGGGAAAGCCGGAGTTAGTAGGGACGAGCGGGAGCTCCCGCGGGAGAAGGATTGCATCGAGCTTGGCTCCATACCAAGGTAAGGTACTTTAGTCAGACCGGGGACCCGAGTTGAAACCCGAGTTAAAGCGCCGTCGGCAATACGACAGCAGTAGTTCCCTACCTCAACGTTAGTATGTAGGTAGGTAACATACAAACCTTGGATGTAAATTAGTTACATAGTGTAAAGGGGCTTAGAAAAACATGAAGCATCTGGGCAGTATATGGACTGCATCTGGGCAGCACCGGGGCAATACCTGGGCAGCGTCAAGGCCGCATCTCGGACTATAAAGCCCTGGTCAGCACTCTACGGATTTTCTCATCATGCGAACAGGCCACTAAATACCCTTTGGTCACTAACGCCGTTATCGGCATTAAGGGGGTTCTGCAGCACTGTGGCACCTGACAGAGCCTGTGAAGCCTCGGTGGTTTTTAAGCAAATCATTGGCCGAAAGGGCACAGCCGGTTTCATTTATCTGCCTCGAGGCTGCATGCCCCGCGCGCCCCACAAAGGAAGACACGCAGCATTTGACAAGCATGCTTGAGGCAAGGTCGGGCGCGCGGCCATATCCGGGGGTGCCAAGTGGGTGCCCTCGTACAAGAGCGGGGCGGCCGCCAAAAATGCTCGACTCTCGAGCCACTTTTCCGCACTCTTTCCACACTTTTCACACACACCCTCCTTCTGGTAGCTTCACAGCTCACACACCCTTCCAACCTAGCCCAAGTTCCACACACCTCGCTAACCCCTCGAAAACACCCCCCCGTCGAGCGTCTGCCCCGCTCGGGCCCCCCGTCGAGCCCCTCCCCGCCTGCACCCTCATGACTCATCTGATTACGATCGATCAAGGTGCGCTTCTTCGACACTCGGCGATGACGGAATCGGGACCTGGGTCGCCGTACCAGTACATTTAAATTCATCCGGCTTATTTTCGCCGCCCCCAACCAAATTGTTAAAACCCCCATCCAGCCCTAAATCCTGTCACGGCGTAGGGGCGGGGCATGTGAGACAGTGCTAGCGACGACGTCTTGCTGGCTGCCTGCAGGATTCAAGAAACGGTTCAATCAGTTCCAGTTGCGGTTCTTGGTTCTTGCTTTGCTCAGGCTGCTCGAGGTGTGTGTCACGGTTACCCTCACACTTCCAGACTCCAGTCACCAGCCGGCTCTTTTTCCATTTCTGCTTGCCTGCCAGTCGGGAAACGGGACTGAGAAAGTCACGGTCGCGTCGGCACACGCACATCATGTTTATTACACTCCGGACTTCAGGAGCCCAAAATGAGGCGGGAGGAGGGATGGAGCAGGTCGTGCGACGCAACGCGGGCCCCAACGGTGTGAAAAATCGAGTCCGCCCGACCCGACGCCCAGCCTGTGTCGCGTGTCAGACGAAAAAGGTAAGTCCATTCTAGGTAATCCTCTCATTTGTCACCCGAAACACACACAAACTTCCCAACCCACAACATCCTCGGCGTCACTGTCACTCACTGGGCTGGGCACCATCTAACGATTACACTTCTCTCGGCCCTCGTAGTTACGGTGCACTGGCAGCCCCCGCAACTGTGATCGGTGCAGAGCCAGATTGGTCGAGTGCGTCTTTCCCGGGAATAGCGGAGGCCAGGACGACCACCGCACACATCCGTCACGGCCCACCAGTTCGTCCAGACTCGAGTGGCAGAAGCTTCCCGAAGTGTCTCCCCAGCAGGGCGATCCCTCCCGCGAATCCACCTCATCGGGTGATGGGGGGGACGGTACGACCCTAGATCCCTCATCTCGGCCGCAGCAGCCGCAGCAGCATCAGCAGCAACAACAACAACAACAACAGCAGCAATCACAGCAACAGCAGCAGCAGCAGCAGCAGCAGCAGGGGCAGCAGACGCAAGTGGGTGTCCCAAGTCCGACAATCCCGGCCGGCGTTGATACGCTGGAGGGAGACTTCTTCGACTGTGAGTTTCCCTTGGGGGTGGACCTGGTGGACCAGGCGGGCCCAGTGGATCAGGCGGGCCAGGCCTGGGCAGCAACACTGACAACTGCCGCGGCTGCAGACGTCATTGACGGGCTGGACATCGATATAGACGATCTTGGCCAAGACGGTGCCCCTGTCGAATCTCGACCGAGCGTGGTTTCCATCCATAGCGGAACCAGTGAAAGTTCGGGCTATCAGCCGAACAAGTCCCCCCAACAGGGACCGTACGACGCCCTGGGCTCCTACTTATCAAGCGCCCTGACCGCCCAAGCAAAGTGCACTGTCACACAAGCCCAGTCCCGAACGGCCCCCGAAACGACCGCCCAGGAACTACCCAGCATGCTTGCCCTCGATGCTGGCCCGCTATCTCCGACCCAATCCTGGGCCCTATCGGGTGTGGCACCCCAGTCCAACCCGAATCGGTCAGGTTCACCGCCGTGCTCCTGTTTGAGCGACCTCGTCCGCGTTGTGCAGCAGCTCGATGACGACGAGTTCCATATCACGACCATGTCCCTGGATCAGGTTTTGCAGCTCCAGAAATGGCTCGTCTTCCAGTGCTGCAAACCGCTCGACTGCCCAAAGTGCCTTGATCTCTCCACCATCCACACGGTCCGCCTCATCCTCTGCGACCGCCTGACCGAGATGTTTGAGTGCATCCACAAGCGCGTCAAGAGCGCAAGCGCCATCCTGACCGGCCAGAACAGCGATTCCAGCAGCCACTCGGCATCATCACAATCGCCCGATTCCCACTCGTCACACCATTCTCTCCATTCCGCGCCGCCGCCCTCGGTTGCCGCGGTTGGTTCCGGGCCGTTGCCCGCCCAGCTCTTTTGCAGCTCCTCCGGTCGCGCAGCCAACGCGGCCGCCTGCAACCCCCTAATGTTCTCGGACGAGTTCCGAAACCAGTATTCCGACGAGGAACAGGTCCACATGATCCGCGTGCTCTTGCGGCTGCAGATCCGAAATTTCCAGAAACTGCTGTTGCGAGTCGAGCGCACCAGCCAGACCGTGGCAAACCAAGCCCGCGCGTCCAAGGTGAAGTCGATGATGGTGCGCCTTTCGAAGGCCGGGGGAGATATTGAGGGTGCTTTACGTGTTGTCTTTCAGGCTTTGTCGATTGGGTGAGGTAAGGGAGGGGAGGGCAAAACTGGAGCGGGATGGAGGAGGCGTTCGAGGGGAAGGCGTTTGGATGGATGTGTATATAAGGTAGTCGGACGGAACCCGGACGGAACTCGAAACTCAAGCTTCTACTGGCCGTCTCTATCTAGACTACGTAGATTGATGTATGTACCATTAGTACACATTCGGTCAAAGACCATCATATCTGCTTCGGAATCTAAAAAAACCAAGGTTACAAAAGGCTCGGCGAACTTTGTCATATTTGTCATACTAGGCAATGACTCGATGAAGCTACCTTTCTCCTCTATGGCGCTGCACCAACTGAAGCACGTTACAACACTGTTCTCCCTATCCACCCCGTGGGCCCTCCAAGTTGGCACTGTTGGCACTGCGACTCGCCCATCTCGGCTAAATACTGTGTAACAACATGACATGCATTTCGGAACCCCAATTTGGTTGCTTGCACCGCTTCCGAGCCCCTTAGATGTTCTTCGGCTTGAAGATCGCCGCTACGTCGCTCTGTGCGGTGAACCAGGTACCATTCACGGTCCACTCCTTGTCGCTAGCCAAGCTGATGTCGAAGTTGCGGTACAGCTCGAAGACGACCTTCCACATCTCCAGAATGGAGATGTTTTTGCCAATGCAACCGCGGGGACCGGCGCCGAACTGATTTCCTTGTTAGTCACCCCATACAACCATGATCCACAACCGGTGTGTGATGATAAAACAAAGAAAGAGAAAAGAAAAAGCAACAGAAAAAAAGAAGGAAAAAGGGCGGGGTGGAAGAGAACACTTCTTACAGTCAGCAAGTTCCGCTTCATCTCCTTGATCCTGTTCTCGTCGCCGTCGATCCACCGCTCGGGGCGGAACGAGTGCACGTCCTCGCCAAAGACGTCCTTATTGCGGTGCAGCACCCACGAGTTGACGCCCACCACCGTGTTCTCGGGCAGGTACACGCCGTGCAGCGTCGCGCCGCCCTTGGGCACCAGCCGCTCCAGGATGAAGCCCGTCGCCGGGTGGATGCGCATCGCCTCGTTGATCACGGCCGACAGGTACGGCAGCTTGATGGCCTCGGCGTAGGTGATGGGGTTGGAGGCCAGCCCGTGCGTCTGCGCGTGCTCCATCTCGTCGAGCAGCTTCTGCCGCGCCTCCGGGTACTTGCTCAGGTAGTAGATGACCGAGGCCAGGGTGACGGCCGTGGTGTCGGAGCCCGCGATGACGTTGGTCGTGGTGATGGCGATGACCTCGGCGAGGGAGAGCGCCTCCGGGTCGTTGTTGTGCACGTCGAGCAGCTGGTTGAGGATGTCCTTGCGGGGCACCGGGTTGCGCTGCCGGTCCTCGATTTGCTGAAGGGAGAACGCCAGGACTTGGTTGGACTTCTCAAAGGCAGGGATCTTGGCTAGAAGGGGGCTGCCCAGGAGGAACTTGTGCATGTAGGGGATTTGGCCGATCTGATAGATTTTGTCACGCTTTAGCTCTTTGTTTTTGGTTGAGGGGTAGTATATGGGCGACCTACGAAAGAAACATAGCCCAGGATACCGCCAATGGCGGCGATGATGTTGTCCTTGTCGGCGCCCGCCTCGAGGAAGCCGAGATCCTTGGAGAAGTTGATCTCGCCGAGGACGTCAAAGGCAAAGTACTGCATCCATGCGACGGGGTTGACGGGGTTCTTGCCGCCGTCCGAGACGTCGCGCAGCCGCTGCACCAACGTCTTGATGCACTTGTTGCAGTACTCCTCAAGGCCGACCACGACGTCCATGGAGAAGGCACGGGCCGAACCGCGCTTCAGCTTGGCATGGTACTCATTGCTCTGCGTGGTGAACAGTGTTGGCAGGAACTTGCCCTTGTAGACAGCCTCCGCCAGGGGGAAGAAAGCACTCTGATAGTCATGTTAGTAAAAGCCCACGCACATGAGAAGCTTGAGTGAGGGTGTATTGTTTGTTTACCTTGCGATACACATTCTTGATGCCGTAGATGGTCTGCATGCTCTCCGGGTCCGACAGCGAGACATGATTGGGCCCGATGCGCACGATGGGGCCATAGTCCTCGTGCACCCGCACGTTCTCACGGTGCATGTTCTGGTTCCATGTCGCCCGCAGTTTCCAGAAGCTGGAGAAGCTGGCTACGAAGGGGCCGGGGATGTGGCGCAGCCCTGTGCGGTACCTCGTCCAGGTGAGGTTGGTGATGAGCAGCACCAGGAGGGTTGTCCAGGGGTGGAACTGTACCCAGCTCCAGCCCAACTCGAGGACGCCGAGCTTCTCGGCCAGGCCGCTGTCGCCGGTGACGGTAGCGTTATTCATTGGGGGTGGATTCGGTGTAAGCTATCTGATTCGATGGTCGGTTCCGTGAACCGAGACAACAATAACAAAAAAGCACACTCAAATTTCGAATTTATCAGCATGTGTCTCATTTGCTACAGGCAGCTTGATCGTAGTTATATCACAGTCAGAATTACGTAGGCGCTTGACTCTCCGCTGCTCAGCGCTACTCTAACTCAACAGGCTACAGCCTGTAAGCCACCCTCAATCTCCCCGTCTTGACCGAGATCTCCCCGCTCGTTCCAAGGGGAACCAAACCAGCCCGGGGCACGGCTACCGCATGTAGTAGTAGTCAGTGGTTACTGTACTTGACTAGTAGTTCGGCTGTACTTAAACAAACCACAGCTGCACGGTTGCGCAAGCGGTAGCATGTGAGAAAGCGGCGCTGCGGCGCTGCGGCGCTACGGCTCTACGACGCTCCCTTTGTAGCATCTCGGCGAGCTGGGGTGTCTGCGGCATGGTCAGGGGTTGACCGGCAGAAGTGGAAAAGGTAAAAAGGTGAAAAAGGGTCAAGAATCCGAGTATCACCGTCGTTCGCACTAGTTTAAGGTGCTTACCCTCCCACCCTAACATGGGTATCGTCGGCGTGAGACAGTTCACGATCGATCAGATCGACTGATCGGGAAGTCAACGTCATTGGCTGAGGTAAGAGGTGGTGTGGTGGATCTGATGTGCCATCACAGCCAGGGGCTGCTTTGCCCCTGGATTTCCTGAAACGGAGATTCTCTCGGGGACCCAATTCGGGATTAGTGTCAGATGGTTTGTACCTCCGTACCAAGCCACAAAGCGACGCAGATTTCAAATCCTCCTGCTGAGAAACCGTGATTTGCCCCAATACCAAAACAGGAAATATCCTCGGAACCCGGAACAGGTTTAGTGCACCGGATGACTTTCCGGCATGCGACGCCAGAAGATGCCTGCAATGGAACAACAGTCTCATTCGGCAGGCCCAAGACGTTCTTGAACTATAAGGTAACTGAGAAGCCCAAAAACGGGTTGTGGTAGGGCTGGTCAGAATGGGCTACCTCTTATTCTACATGTAGACTGCTAGACTGGGAACTCTTGGATCTGTAGAGCCGCGGCTAGGTTGTCTAGTTGCTACCACATACCGACATGCAACACATGTACAAAAGCCCGTAGCATATGCCTCAAAGGGCACGATAATGAAACTGCAATAACTCGAGAACCTTGATTCAGGCTACCTGCGTTGTGGACAGAAAATTGCCTACCATGTCCGCTCCTACCAAGACCCAAAACTGCCTGGTCCCCTATGTCGACATAGACGCCGTCCCGGCGGAGGTTGCAGCGGCCATCACGCACCTCCCCTACCGGCGCAACATCTTTTACCTGCTCGGGCACTCGCATGGGTCTTTCCCACGGCTCATGAGCGTCTACGCAAACTTCTTTGACGGAACCCGGCGCATCCTCCCGCTGCTCGACTGGCAGCTCGTCGTCCTGCGCATCTCGGCCGCCCTCGACGCCGAGTACGAGTGGGATGTCAACGCCCCCGTGGCCCGCATCAACGGCATGCCAGAGGAGAAATTTGCAGCTCTCAAGCGCAGCGCCGGTGGGGGTGCGGAGGCCCTGGCGAAGGAGGCCAGCTTCACGGAACGCGACCGCGCCATCTTGCAGCTGGTCGATGAGCAGCTCGCTACATACACCAACACTGAGAAGACAGTGCAACAGGCTAAGAAGCTGATGACGGTTGAGGAGTTGGTTGAGGTTTACATTGTGTTGGGTGTTTATGCGCTCATTGCACGCATCACCAAGGGGTTGCGCATTGATTTGGATGGTGAGATTCCGGGGCTGGAGGAGCACTTGAACAAGGTCGTTACGCGGGATTGAGGAATGGACCGTTCGTTAGTTTGGTTCCGAATTTTTGTGGAATTACTCTCGAGTGATAAATGAAAGCATCATTCCACTGTAACGGCTTCCCGTTGGGCAGAGACAGATCTGGCTGGGGGCGGTTATTAGTAAGATCCAAAGGAATAAAGGCTTGTCTGAGAATTCAGGGGCCCAGTTCGCTTCTTGGCGCTTGATTACCTGATGCAGTTTGTTTGAATAAGCTTTCGATTTCCTCTTTCGGCATGTGGAGGCGTTGACCCTGTCTCATTGCGAACAAGGAGAGCAACTATCGGCCGTCATTTCGAGTCTCGGATTTTTTTCCCCTCCTCAACAGATACCCAAACCCCGATTTCTAAGCCCGAAGGTGATTTGCAAAGGTGTTTGGGTTTCAACGAGGCCTGGATTTGCAGATCGATTTGCTTTGTTGGCCACTTTCACCCCCCAACTGCCGTCCCTTTTTTAACTTACATCTTGGAGCTCATCGGCAGCTTACCTCCCTTGCGAATCTCACTTGAGCATCTACCATCTGGCATTGGGATCTAAAACCAGCTAGCTCAGCTCTTAGCGGCGTCCTTTTAGATCTTGAAGTTCCCATCCCACCTTCAACCCTCGTACCTATCCCATCCCGCAGACCAACCAAGTTCGACACCCACAGACCCTCGGGTCGACCGCCCCTACCATGTCCTCCGGTGCGACATCCATCGGGGAGAAACCCCAGGATTCCTCGAACGACAACAACTCAGACTCCAAGCTCGAATCCAACCTGCCAACAGACACGGGCAACGAGTCTGCCGAGGCTGAGGAGGTCTCGCCGAGACAGATTCATGGCGTTGTGGTAAGAATTGGGCCGAACGCGGAGTGGCGCGTCTGAATTTCTGCTGACCTGGTTGACCGCATGCAGTGGACCTTGGTCGTGATCGCGATTCTGTCCAGTATTTTCCTGTACTCCCTCGACAACACTGTGGTGGCCGACATTACCCCGGCCGTCGTCAATGCCTTTGGTGACGCGTTGAAGTTGCCATGGCTCTCTGTCGGGTGCGTATCCCCTTCCCATGCTGTGAGACCACAGCTCCTAACCGTGTCTGTTTCGTGTCTAGGTTCCTTCTCGGTGGTGCCGCAGTCGTGCTTCCTTTCGGGAGACTGTTCGGCCTGTTCGATGCCAAATGGCTCTACATCTTGTCGGCGCTCTTGTTCAACGTTGGCTCGGCCCTCTGCGGAGCTGCTCCCAACATGGATGCCCTGATCATTGGGCGTGTCCTCGCCGGTATGGGTGGTAACGGCATGTACCTCGGTGTCATGACTCTGCTTTCCGTCAACACTTCCGACCGTGAGCGTCCGGGCTACCTCAGCTTCGTTGGCTTGGTTTGGGGTATTGGCACAGTTTTGGGACCTGTGGTGGGTGGTGCCTTCGTCGAGTCATCGGCTACATGGCGGTGGGCCTTCTACATCAACCTCTGCGTTGCCGGCCTATGTGCCCCGGTTTACCTCCTTTGGATCCCTTCGTTCAAGCCCCGCGCTGGCACACCGTCCATGACGCTGGTTCGCGAATTCGATATTGTCGGTACCGTTCTCAGCATGGGCGCCATTGTCACGCTGATCATGGCCACGAACCTGGGCGGTGCTCTCTATGCCTGGAACAGCGGGCAGATCATTGCGCTATTCGTCGTCTCATTTTCGCTCTTCATCGCCTTTGGCATTCAACAGACCTACACTATCTTCACGAGCCTGACGTCGCGCATCTTCCCCATCCAGTTTATGAGGAACTGGAACGCGGTACTCCTGTTCTGCTGCGCCGCCGCTGTCAACACGGCTGGCTTCGTCCCCATCTACTACGTGCCGCTCTACTTTCAGTTCACTCGTGGTGACAGCGCCATCACGGCTGCAGTTCGGCTGCTCCCGCTCATCTTCGTGCTGAGCGCCGCCATTCTCGCCAACGGTCATCTCATGGCCCGCTTCGGCTACTTCCAGCCGTGGTATATCTTCGGCAGCATCCTCACCCTGGTTGGCGGTGTCATGTTGTGTATGTCCTTTGTCTTTCCTTCCAAATCACGTCTGAATTGGCGCTAACATTCCGGTATTTAGCTCGTATCCATGCCGACACCCCAGAGGGCCAGATCTACGGTTTTGAGATTCTGGTTGGTATTGGCACTGGCTGCTTCATCCAGGCCGGTTATGCCGTCATCCAAGCCGTCACTCCCCCTGAGGACATGGCCTATGCCATCAGCTTTATGATGTTGGCACAGCTGTCCGGTATTGCTCTCGGCCTTGCCATTTCCGGTGCTGTTTTCGTCAACGACGCCATCGCCAACCTCAGCGCGGTCTTGACCGACGCTTCGCGGGAGCAGCTCCAGATGGCCATCTCGGGAACCAGTGGCGATTATCTGAGCTCTTTGTCCGAGGAGGTCCGCACGGCCGCTACGAATGCCATCGTGGAGGCCCTCCGCAAGGTGTTCATCCCTGTCTACGTCGCTGCCGCCTTCGCCTTGGTGCTCTCTGTCATGTTCACGGTATGTCTCTCCCTCCCTCTCCTCATCCTCACAAGCTGCAACTCGCTCTTGGGAACACAACTAATATGTCGATCAATAGAAACGCAAGATGTTTGGCGACATTGTGGCCATCGCGGCTTAACCCGCACACGATTCGTAAGGTACCATAACGATACAATGCATATCCAATGGGGAGTTTGGAAGAATACCACTATTTGTGCATGGACGGGAAAGGTGCAGTGAAAAAAAGGTCTCGATCTTGAGATATCTTGTGATTCTCGTCCATTCATTCAGGCCAGGTCAGAATGTGGGACGTTTTGCATTTAATAATCAATTTAATGGGGTGAAGAGCTTAACCTCTGCCAGTCCTACTCCTGCAGTGTAACCTCGCACCTGATGTATCTGGTACCTCCTTATCCCGCAGCCGGTGTATCTTGCAGCCTACCTACTATCTTGCAGTTGATGCATGTGCTTGTTCAACCATCCATTACGCTTAATTCAACCTCCACACTGTCTTGATATGCCCGACCTCCTTGCCGCTTGCTAACTGAATAGCCCTTTTTAGTGCCTCCTCGACCTCTCCCTCGCCGGCCGTGGTCCAATCCACAACATTGACCGTGGGCCGCTTCAGTGTCCCATCGATAAACATGTTCGCCGTCTCGTAGATCAACTCTTCGGCGCGCGCATTACCCAGGCGCTTGAGGTGCTCCGACCCCCTAAACGGTAGGAAGCTCAGCTGGCGTGTGAACAGATGGTCTGTGGTCACCGTCACCGTCGCTGTCGGGCCGGCAAGCAGACCAACGAGCACAAACTTGCCTCCCGGTGCGAGTGCAGACGCGAGCAGCTGCCCGACACGACCAAACACACTGTCGAGCGCAAGCACAATGGGCTCCTTAGGAAGCAACCCCGCCGCGGCCGAGGGACCTGGCGCCTTAGACGACCTGGCGGCCAGCTCGGCCTCCAGCTCGCCCTCACTCAGCACCGCATCCGCACCGAGGGCACGCAGCTCGGCTTTCACCACAGCCAGCACCGGCTCCCCGCGGTCGCGCACCACCAGCACAACCTTCACCCCACGCTGCCGCGCCAGCTGCACCAGGAACTGCGACACGCCGCTCGTCCCCGCCGACGCAATCACCCAGTCGCCCGCCCGGAGCGGCGTCACCTCGTCTAACAGCAGCCGCGCAATCAGCGCCCCCGACCGGATCAACGCCGCGTCAATCGGGTCCACCCCCGCCGGCAGCTTGATCAACGCGCTGGCCGGCAGCACCGCGTGCGTGCGCCACGTGCCGAGGCCCAGGTCGCCCGGGAGGACGAGGTCGCCCGGGGCGAAGAGCGGCGTGCTGGAGGATTGGACGAGGGCGCAGCCGTCGAAGCCCGGGATCGGGTGCCGCGTGGTGCCGTCCGGGGAGGGGGCCGTGTATTTAGGCTTGATGGGGTAGCGGCCGGCGAGGAGCATCAGGTCGACGCGGTTGACGGGGGCGGCGAGGAAGCGGACGAGGACTTCGCCTTCGTCTTTGCCTTCTTCGCCTTTGCCCTGGCCGGCGTCGGAGGCGGTCGAGGTAGGATCGACTGCCGAGGCCGAGGCCGAAAGCGAGGGGTACGAGGGAATTGCGTGGCTGACGAGCAGGGTGCTGCTGCCGCTGCCGGGGGTGGTGGTGTAGACCAGGGATTGCGCCATTGTGAAAGATGACGGAGGGTAGGGGCCGAGGGGCTCGGGGTGCAACGTCGGGTGTGGATGTGAGTAAGCCTTGGTCTGGGGGCCGCGATTGGTTCGGCCGAGGTCAACGGTGGTACGCGCTGGGGCTAGGATCGAGATGTTGTTCACGTTGTGAAAAGGCATGTATATACTCATTGCTAACTGGCCCGGCTAGCCAAAGTGGGTGTTCTCATCGCATTTGGCCATATGTTCTGCCTCCAAAAGAGGTAAGCCTACCCCGGCATGCCCGTGGTGAGAATAACCCCTAAATAGTTTCCTGGTTTGTTCGAGATTCTCCGAACACTTGCATCCGTGTTACGACATGCACGTGCATAAGCTTAAACGCGGGGGCATTGGCAGTGCCAAATCTGGCCTCGGTGGGTTGCTTTCACCTTTTCCCAAGGCGGAAGTAGATGACCCCGTATTACTATGGTCATGTAGGTGAGCGGCGAAGCCCGGAGAAGCCCGAAGGGGTGTGACTATCCGGAGTTAAACTTCACAGGCGGCTGAAACAAGGTCATAACAGCCGTCGTACAAAGATTCGCTTATTTATGCCTATCTCATTGCCCGGCTGAATAGCCGTTGTGTCTACCGAAAGTCTATCTGCAGCTGCACTTATGTGGCACTGATCCTCCCCTCCTCAGCGGAGATACACTCTTGCAGCAGGCAACTTATAACCCCGGCGCTGCAACCCACCCGAAAGGTGAGTAAGTAGCATGGATGCAACCGTCGACGGAATCAGACCTGCTTAAGCCTTCACCTGGTCCCTCCACCGGATCTGAGTAACACCGTCGAAGAGGGGCAGCAGCAGCACGTCAACGCGCTCGTCCTTCATAAGGTTCGTGTTGAACTCATCCAGCGCCTGGCCGCAGCTGAGCCAGTAGGGGCGGACGTGGTCGTTGAGCCACGGGGCGCAGTCCGGGCCAATCGAAAGGCCGCGAGCAAAGACTGTTGTTTGCGTTTGTCAGCAACGAGGTTGCAGGGCAGGTCAGGGGGACGAAAAAGGGACACGTACCATTGTCGCAGAGGATGATGCCGTTGGGGGAGAGGAGCTTCTGGTCCAGGATCGTCTTCACGTAGTTGGCGTAGCCATCCTTGTTGGCGTCGACGAAGATGAGGTCGAACTCGCCCGTCAGGGTGGGGAGCGTCTTCTCGGCGGGGCCCTCGACCAGCTTGATGCGGTCCTCAACCCCGTACTTGGCGAACGCCTCGCGGGAGGCAGCGATCATCTTGCGGCTGTACTCCAGCGTCACAATCTCGGCCTTGGTATCCTTGGTACCCTCGTACCAGGCGAGCGCGCTGTAGCCGGAGAAGCAGCCGATCTCCAAGACTGAGTAAGACACGGAGCGTTAGTCTGGTTCCCGGTCATGCCGCTGCCGCGTGGCAACAAACGTGTGGGGGAGTGGGGGCGTGTAGGCATGCTATGATGCTACATGTACAATGTGGAGGTGCATAGAAGGAGGCAGATACGTACTTCGCTTGGGCTTGCGGTCCCTGGCGGTGAAGATCATCCAGGAGCCCTGGAGGCAGCTGGACATCTTGTCGGCATCGGGGAAACGAGTGCGGGTCCACTCCCAGTGGTCGGCCAGGTTGTCAGTGATGGGGAGGGAGCGCTTCTCGCAGTACTCGCTGACGCGGTCCACTTGCTCCTCATCGAAAGGAAGAATGCTGCCGAGCATGATGGGCGATGGTTTGATTACACGGGGTAATTTGAAGTGTAGTGATGTGATATCTGTAGCTGGGGCGCAGCGACAGTTGTGTTTGTGAAGAGGAGATGATTGAAGACTGTTGGATGACTTGAGTGATGAGGTTGAGATCACCTTAGACTGCTGAGGACATGATACTTATAGATGAATCATAGAAGATTGAAGCTGTACTCTTACTCGATCCCATTGCGTTGCCGAGAGTGCATCTGGTAGAATGAGTTGGTCTTGCCTCGAGATGCCCGCCAGCATGCCCGGATTCCCCAGCTTGGCCCGCAGCATCGCCATGTCTAGTCTCGTGTGTAGAATCTATGCATGACTTGTTTGGATACCTGGCCTAGGCGTATGTTTCCGTTTCGGGGCCACTAATCCAGAACCCCATTTCAGGCTGAAGTGGTAGTAGAAGTGAGCATTGGGTCATTGGCTCTGGGCTTGACAACCTGGAACTTACGACGAGAAACCCCCAATTGTGTGAATAGGAAAGTCCATGATTTGGCAAATCTAGGAATGCCTATGAAACGTACTCCTGAACAGCCACATGCCTGATTTGGAGGGGGCCGGGCCGAGAAAGCCAAGATGCAGTAACTGCAGGACCGTTGCGTTCAACAGCTGAGCCGCACGGTTGCAGATTCCCTATTCAAGTATATCCTGCGGCGAGCTTGGAATTTGGATGTAACATAGCGTCCCGGAAGGAGCTACACCCCTGAACTCGCCCTTCTCATTACAGGACTCACCTTGGTCGGTACCTAAACGGGTTCAAGCCCATATAGGGAATCGATCTGACAGCCGTTGGGGTTTCTTTCGGACCGAGCCGAGAAATTCATGGAGGCGTCGAGATTCAACCTAGAACCTCCAAGCTTCTTTTCGGATGGAAGTAGACACTGGGATTCCAACGGCTGTGATACCGTACTTGGGGGTTAAACGTAAGTACATCGGACGCTTTGTTATCTACGTAGACTTCCATGTACATGAGTTATGGAAGCTCGAACCCGCCCGGGCATGCTGGTGCCGGGTGTGTGGGAGTAGGGGCACTTCAGGTTACCAGCAACGGCGCAGACGTAGTAAAACTGACCCGAGAAGAGAACAAACCCTCGATAGGCAGACCCGGGTTGGCCGTCAGATCCGCTGTAGAATGTGACTTGGCGCTGTATCACTCCCCGAGACGAGAAGCGAGACGGATCCCATATAAGTTGATGAAATAGGCGGCATTGGCACGCCTCGTGTTGTTTTACGCCCACTTATACGCCGCTCTCTGATCTGCTTTTTCGTCCCATGCTGTAACCACTGCTTTCCCCACGCATATTGGTCCAATCCATTCAACATGCGCAATCCTCTAGCGCGTGAAAGCAAGCATGCGTTTCTAGCCACCCCCCCTTCATCACCGCCGTCGACCATGACCATGATTGATCAGACAGTTGACGATGGCTGGCTGGACATCTCCAAACAGCCCCACGGGGCTGCCAAGACCTTGAAGCAGGCCAAATCCCTCCACATCACCTTCAAGCAAGTCACAAGGGCACTCTCAAGCCTACGTGGCATCGGGACAGACACCGACTCTGGGGGTCAGTGGGCTTCAGACAACAATGAGATCGAGTCCGAGATCGAATGCACTCCTGCCCAACAGGAGCAGCTCCGACGCGACCCCGATGCCGCGAAAAGGCCCGCCGTCATCCGTCTAGACCTGTCCACTGACATGGTCAAGAGCTTCGACCAACTCCATGAAGCATGGCTTGCTCTATCTCTACAGCACCATATCCTACGAACGACCATCGTGAAGGAAAAGAACAATGACGACTTCGTCCTCCGCATATTCAAGCGTCCGAGAAATGTGCGGGGTGGTTTCGATGCCAACTTCGAACACATCCACACATTCGGCTTCCAGGGGCCGGCGATGCTGGTCGTCGAATGGGCCAGCTTTACTCCCCATGTCACTCTCTGCCTTCCTCAGCTGGTCGCCGATAGCACATCGTTGGGACACCTTTGGAGGGACTTCCTGTCTCTCTTGTCGGGTTGGATCCCGCCACTAAGGCTCACGTTCCCACAGTACCTGAGCCTTGCTACGAGAAACACCAGTCGGGAATCTGCGAGAGACTTCTGGGACAAGACACTCGGCTCCCTGCCCGATGTTGTGGTGCACTCGTTCCCACTAGAGCGGCACCAGACCTTCCAAACCACGCGGGCCACCAGCCCCGTCTCCATCAGCGGGTCATCCCTCAAACGATGCGCAAAGCAGCTCGGCGTTTCCGAATACGCCGTCGTGTATGCGGCCCTGGGCTTGGTGCTGGATCGCCATTGCAACCTGGGCAGCGAGGTGCACGACATCGCCTTCGTAGCCGAGGGAAGAAACAAAACTGTTAAGGGCCACGAATCAGTCATTGGATATGTCGACCAAGAATACCCGCTCAGGCTCCAGATGAACCCCGAGCGCACTGCGGCTGCCGTGATCAAGGAGGCTGAGCGTCTCAACACGTTGTCGACGACACATGCCTTCTTTGCCGGCTCGGAACTCTTGGACGCCGTTTCGGCCATCGATTTCAAGCTTTCTGTTGCCGTCGGAGACGACGAGGGGCTACTGGCCGCTTCTGAGCCCAGCAACCATTCCGTGGGAATCACCGTGCAGATCAGCCATGCAGTATCCATCGTCGCGCAGCATGACACGGCGATCCCCGTCGAGAAGGTCAAGGTTGTTCTTGACCATTTCACCATGGCGCTCTCGGAAATGGTCAAACACCCCAACTTCTTCCTCAGTGAGATCGAAATCATCTCCCCACCGGAACTGGACCTTATCCTGGAGATGGGCATGCCTCTTACTGTTCCTTCTCACGATAACGTCCACAAGCTTTTCGAGCGCCAAGTTCTTCTTACCCCTGACGCCCCAGCCTTACAGTTTGAGGGAAATCGTCCTTTGACGTACGACGAGCTGAACCGCATCAGCAACAGAGTTGCACGGCACTTGCCTGTCGGTAGAGGCTCCTTCGTACCCGTGTGCCTCGAGAGGTCGGCGAATCTCATCATTTCCCTGGTCGCCATTCTCAAGACAGGGGCGGCCTATGTCACAATCGACCCCGACACGCCGCAGGAGAGGAACAACTTCATTGTCGAGGATGTTGGAGCCCAGGTTGTTATTGTTGATAAAACAACCACTGGTCGATTCCCGGGCCGAGAGGTGGTCATCGAGGAGCTCATCGCGGAGTCGATCCGAGCCCAGGACACCAACTTAGACCGTGCCTGTGATCCCAGCGACCCTGTCTACGTGATTTACACATCCGGGTCGACGGGGAAGCCGAAGGGTGTGCTTCATGTAAGTGATATTTTGAGCAGCAGCTCAATCATTTCCAAGGGTATTTCAGTGGCCTATGTGCTAACCATCTATGCCCCTAGGTCCACTCCTCGGCAACATCTGGTCTCGCAGCCTTCCCGACATTGCCTGATCTTCGCCAACTCCTCTTCCACAACCCCGTCTTTTCGGCAGCGCAGCGGTCGGTGTGGTCGACTCTAAAGCAGGGCGGCTGCCTGTGTCTGGCCAGCAAGGAAAACCTCACTGTCCACATCGGACGCACGATCAACCAGATGCAGATCAACGTCATCGATGTTACCCCTTCGACAGCGCTTCTCCTCACCCCCGGCACTGTGCCCTGCCTCAAACGGATGACAGTTGCCGGTGAGCTGATCAACCCGGCTCTAATCCCGACCTGGGTCAATGAGCTGGAACTGCTCAACGCTTATGGTTTGAGCGAGAACACCCAAGTTAACTGGAGACGCGAGATGGTGCTCGGTCAGAACCCACAGAACATTGGCCGCCCAAGTGATACCACCACCTCGTTTGTGCTCGTGCCAGGCACTACGCGTCTCAGCCCCCTGCTCGTTCCGGGAGAGCTTTGCCTCGGCGGTGATCAGCTCGCGCTTCATTACCTCAACCGTCCGGAGAAAACAGCGGAAGCCTTCATCGACAACCCTTTTGGCCCCGGCCGCCTGTACCGAACCGGCGATATGGTCGTTGCCCACGAAGACGGGTCCATCGAAATGGTCGGTAGAATCGACTTCCAGGTCAAGATTAACGGTCAGCGTGTCGAGCCTGGTGATTCCAACACCATCTTGCAAACCCACCCTGATGTCTCCAACTCTAGCGTTGTTGCCGCCGAGATTGGTGGCCGCAAGTCGCTAGTCGCTGCTATTGTTGCCAAAACAGGGTCGGCACTGGAGTGGCCGAGGCTGCGGAGCGAACTTAAGGACCTGCTAGCCCAGCATATTCCTAGCTACATGATGCCCACCTACTGGCTCTTGCAAACCGAGCTTCCTCTAAACGTCAACGGAAAGGTCGACATCCCAAGACTCACCAAAGATGTCCAGGGTCTTGGCAGAGACACCCTCTTGCGTTTCTCGACCGATAACCACAGCGCACCCGAGAGCTTAAACGGCGTTTCCCAGGGCGAGGGCACCGCACACCTTACGGAACCTGCACAGAAGCTTTGCGAGATCCTAGCCAGTGTCTTAAAGCTGACTAGCCCACGTATCAGCACAAGCGAGAACACCTTCCAGGAGCTTGGGGGGTCGTCCCTCGACGCTATCCGTGTCTCAACCAAGGCTTACCAGGACGACATTCAAGTGTCAGTGCCAGACATCCTTCGACTCCCTCTACATGCCCTGCTTGGGAAAGCAAAGGCATTGCGCGAGAAGGCCCACGAAGATGTCCCACACTTCTCGTTGCTGCCCAAGAATGCCAATGCAAGGAAGATGGACTACGTCGAAGACGCGTATCCCACCACCTCACTACAGGACAGCTTCCTGGCCGACTCCTTACGTGGGGGTTCGACTTACATCTACCGTCGTTACTACCGCTTGAAGGGCGTCTCACATCAGGAAGTCCGAAAGGCGCTGGAGAGTCTGATTCCGCGTATCCCCCTACTCCGGACAACCTTCATCCTGAACAAGACATCCTTCCTCCAATTGATCAGGAAGACTGTCCCTGTCCTGTCATGGGATGACCTGCCGCAGGTGACAGCGCGGGAGTACTCGGCACTTGAGAAGCGGACCATGGAGCTGGGCGGCAACTTTGTGCATTTTGCTAGTCTCCGGGACGGCATTCTCGCTGTTACCATGCATCACGCTCTGTTCGACTACTGGTCCAACAACTTCCTCATCGACGATCTATCCAACGTCCTAGGCAACAAGCCGCTTCCACGACGGCCAGCCTATGTCGACTTTGTCAATCACACGCTGAAATTGCAAACTGCGGAGCAGGCACAACTCAAGAAGTTCTGGCGAGACAAGCTCAATGGCGTCCTTCCCACCGTTCTAGGCCAGACCACTGAGGACAGCGCTGTAGTAGAGGCCATCCTCGCCCAGGATGTTCAACACATCGCAGCGTCACACAACGTCTCGATCGGCTCTCTCATCTATGCCGTATGGGGCGTTGTCCTCTCCATGCACACCGGGCGTAACGATATCTTATTCGGTGCCACGCTGTCTGGCCGCGACGTGCCCGTGCAGGGGATTACCGACATGGCCGGGCCGACCATTGCTACAGTTCCATTCCGTATCCAGCTGGATACAGAGACATCCCTCCTCGACTTGGCCAGAACAATCCAAGACGAAATTTGGGCGGTTGCGCCCAAGGCTCAGTTCGGTCTGCGGAACATCGTCAAAGAGGCAAACTTGACCGCAAAGCACTACGACACTCTAGTCAACGTGCTCATCAAAGATACCGAAGCGGTCGGGTCGGACCGTGATAGCAGCCCCCTCGTGCCGTGTGAGCCCCACGAGCCGAACTTTGTCCCCGATCATACCATGCTTGAAGCAGAGACAATGGGTGGGAACGGCCTGAGATTGCGTCTTCTTTCTGGCTTGACGCATGCTAAAGCCTCGCTGCTGCTGGGAAATGTGGCCGAGACCGTCAAGATCTTTTTGGAACGTCCTGATACCCGCATCAGTGATATTGTTCCCACCTCGGTAGAGGAACTCAAGTTTTTGGATTCCCAGTCCAACGTGCGTCCCACGGAGCCCGGTCTGACGGCCGTCACCCTTGTCGATAGGATCATTACGCAGTACCCCGAGAAGACGGCACTCCAAGAGCTGTCAGACGCCACACGAAAGAGAGGGCTGTCCTACCGACAGTTTGGTGATGCTGTCGACCGCCTGGCGCGTTACCTCCTGACCAAGGGAGCCAAGAAGGGCGACATCATCCCTATTTGCATGCGCAAATCCATCAATACCCTCATTGCCGTCTTTGGCGTTCTCAAGGCCGGCGCGGCCTATACTCCGCTCGACCCCAAGAACCCTCGTGACCGAAACGACTTTATCACACACGATGTCGGGGCTACCATTACAATCACCGACAGCACACACTCAGACGTGTTTGAATCGTTCACCGGTGAAGTGATCAACCTCGACACCGTCGATACCACGGGAGACATTAACACATTTGCCGGCGAGCTTCTGGAGCCTTCTGTCCGCGACCTCGCGTACGTCATTTACACTAGCGGCTCGACCGGTCTTCCCAAGGGTGTGCAGGTGCACCATGGCGCGGTAGGAGCGTCGACCGAGGGCATGATCGAGGCCTGCAACATCGATGACAAGTGGCACGTTCTGTGGTTCCTGAACTACGTGTTTGACGCGTCATATTTCGATGTCTTTACCGTTCTCAGCTCGGGTGGCACCATCTCGATTGCCGACCAAGACACGTTGATGCAGGATCTCGCGGGCTGTGTCAACGCCTTTGGGGCTGAGCAACTAATGATCACGCCGACCATCTCCAAGTTGATCTCACCTGAGCAAGTGCCTACTCTAAAGGCCCTTCTTGTCTGTGGCGAGCCTATCACCCCTGAGGTTGCTAGCGTCTGGGCAACCCGTATGGACGTGTACAATGGATACGGTAGGTTAGGTTCTCTATGGGCTGACCCCTTTCACTCACTTTCCCACCACCACCCCCAAAATCCAGTGACAGCTGTTCTAACCAAAGATACAGGGCCCACTGAGGCAACAATCCTCATGACCGTCTCCAAGGTTCTGCCTGAGGGTAATCTAAAGAGCGTTGGTTACCCATTGAAGGCGGTCAAGGCCACGATCCTCCACCCTGAGCTCCTGGTCCCCGTTCCGTATGGCACTGTGGGCGAGCTCTGTGTTGGAGGAGATCAAGTCGCCATCGGCTACCTCAACCGCCCCGAGCTAACAACCAAGGCCTTCACCACCGCAGCGGATGGCTCACCAATTTACCGCACCGGCGATTACGCCCGCTGGCTTCCGTCCGGGGAGATTGAGTGCCTTGGCCGAAGAGACAACCAAGTGAAGCTGAACGGCTTCCGCATTGAGCTCGGTGAGATCGAGAACACCATCTTGACCCAAGCAGCCGACATGGTTGAGACCTGCGTTGTCACTGTGGCAGAGGTCCAACGCAAGAAGCAAATCGTGGTGTACTACGTACCAGTCGAGAAGCCGGAGGGAGAGGTCGCGAGTAGCAACATGTACGCCACCGCGGTTGTCGATCCTGTAACGATCCTCGACCGGCTCCAGTCTCTGGCTCACTACATGATGCCCAAGATCTTCTTGCCTTTCAAGGGTTTCCCACTTCTCGCGTCCGGCAAGATCAACCGGAAGCAGCTCGCCGGGTTGGCAGAAGGGCTGGACCCCAAAACCTTGGCCGGATATTCCAGCACAGCGCCCATTTCAAACGGGCCTGCTGTTAGCGACTCGGAGCTGACCGAGGAGGAGAGGACACTACGCGGTGCATGGGCCGAGTTGTTCGAGGTTGAGCCTGAGACCATTGACCCAGGCTCGCTATTCTACCACTACGGTGGTGACTCAATTGCTGCCATCAACCTCGGCAGCATGCTCCGCAGCCTGAACTTTTCTTTGTCGGTCAACGACGTTGTCACATATCCCTCCCTCAAGGAACAGGCCCAGCGTATCAAACCAGTAAAGGCACCCATGACCTCTGCCCTAGCGGTCAAGCTCGAGGTGAGCCAAACGGTTAAAGATAAGCTGCAGGCGTCGGGCCTGTCCGATGATGACATCGAGGACATCTATCCTTGCGGGCCGGGCCAGGTGGAGTTCTTGACGCAGGGGCACACCGAAGATCAGTTCTGGATGCTGATGACGGTGCGCCGTCTCCCCAGCGGCTTCGACCTCGACCGCTGGATCGAACTGACAAGGGGACTCACTCAAGCGAACCAGATCCTCCGCGCCATGTACATGAAGCAGGACGACGCAGACCCCCTCAGCTGGGTGCAAATCATCCTCAAAGAACCAGTTATGGACTTGGCCATGGTCGACTGTGAGAGCGCCAACTCGGAAGAAAAGAACAAACTGATCCTCAAGCACTGGGACCAGCGCTTCGCCATCGGCCGCCCCTTCGTGCGCTACCTCGTCCTCCGCTACCCCGACGGCACCATGGACCTAGCCACCAAGCTCGACCACGCCATGTACGACGGCACGCTCCTGCGCATCTTCGACGACCAGTTCACCGCCCTCCGCGACGGCCAGCCCATGCCCGTTTCCCCCACCCCCTTCCGCACCTTTGTCGAGTACACCAACCAACCCGAGCTCCGCGACCCCATGCTCAACTTCTGGAAGACCGCGCTCGCCAACAACACCTTCACCTTCCCCTCACACATCGCGCACCCCAAAGTCAGCGCCGTCGCCCTCGCCCGCACCGCCATTCCCGTCAACGCCTACGCCCGCACCGCCGGCGTCACCGCCAGCATCGTCTTCCAGGCCGCCTACAGCCTGCTGCTGGCCAAGCTCAGCAACGCCCCCACCGCCGACGTCACCTACGACTACCTGCTGACCGGCCGCAACGTCGACCTGGACGACCCGCAGCTCATCAACGGCACCTGCGCCAATTTCCTGCCCTTCCGCTCGCGCATCGGCGGTGGCGGCGACGGGAGCGTGCAGACGCTGCTGAAGGATACGCAGTCTGGGTTCTGGGCCATGACGGAGAATGGGTCGGTTGCCTTGGGGGATATCTATGGCAAGCAGGGGCTGGGAGTGGATCGCGCCACGCACGCGGCCAAGACGCTGTTCTTGTTCCAGCCGTTTGAGCCGGCCCCGGCCGAGCAGGATAATATGCGGTGGATTGTCATGGCTATGAGCAAGGTGACCATGTATGTGAATTATGCGGTTATGTTTGAGGTGTTTAAGGATGTGGATGGGGGGCATAAGTTGAAGATGGGGTATGATTCGAGGTTGTTTGATGCTGAGCAGGCGAAGGGGGTGTTGCAGACGTATCTGGGTATTGTGCAGGATATTGTGGATGGGAAGAAGACGGAGGTGGGCCAGTTTTTGGGTTGACTCCCTGGCCACGGCCATGGCCTTGGTCGTGGCGTTGACCGAAGAGATGGAAATTGGGGGGCCAGATTGTTTCACGGCGTTGAGGGTCCTGTGTGGTTATGCGTGGTTTTCGTGGTGCTTGTGTCTTTCTTCTTTTGTATATAAATTGGTCTTATCTTTCTGAATCACTTTGGGAGGTTTCCTTCACCAAGAAACAAGAAAATACAAAAAAGACATGGGCTATTTCCGTTCCGGCCTTCATCATCCCGCGAAGCCTACTGTCATCCTCGAGTGAGATCCATATTTAAACCAATTGCAAGGAGCTTCCAGCCATCTCGAGATCCAGCATCCGAGATCATTGACCTCCGACTCGAACCTCATGCAACGTATGGGCTGCCCGTCAAACCGGAAATGGGCTCTTTTGTTGGTCCAATCTATGCAAAATTCAACCAACCCCGGAATGGGCAAATCTCTGCAGCCTTCGTTGAAATTGATTTGCCCCAGGCACCATTATCTCCCTGCCAGGTCCCTTTGCTGTCGCATGTCGTGACAAGACAGCATGTGGTGATCCACCATTGCATTACGGCATTGGAACTTGCCGCACCTGCGACCAAAAGAGCGGGAATTGGGAGACGCATGGTGTTGCTTCGCCGGTGTGGGAAAGGCCCGGTAGGTTTAGAGACAGACCGGTCCTTGAAGTCACGTTAGTAGGACTGTCATGGCAAGGGCTGTGGGTGTCACTCCAGGGGTGATTACGAGGAATTGGACTAACGTACGAGTTCTCAATTTGCAAGGAGTTGTCTCGGTCTAGCTGCGTGTGTGTGAGGGAGCCGGTCTCTGGAGATCCAAAAGGCGCCTCCAGATGGGGACATGGGAAATCAAGTGGTTTATATGCCCGTCTTCAACCCCCCCTACCCTCCTTTACTTTCTTCTACTTCCCATGCCCCCCCCGCTACCCTCCCTCGGTCCGATACGGGGCGGCTCAATACGTCAACGCCATAAACTGCGGGGAACGCATATTCGGCCGGCGTGATATTGATGCAGGACGGCAACACCGTCACTGCATTGATGCAAGCTCTCGTATGCACGCAAACATTCCCGGTATCACACCCGACACGAGGAGTCGATTGCCAAGCCAATTGTCTCTTTGTCGCCCCGATCCCGTGTGCGAGTCACGGTCCAACGACACGCACTAAAGTGCCGAATAGCGATGCCGCCGGGGAACCAACGGACCAACAACACACACAACCTTGCCGTCCCAAGTTCCAAAGGAGGTACCTAGCGCGAGGGTGCCGCACGCTCGACCGACTGGAAGTCAAACATGTACTTCAAATACAGCATATAGGTCGGGGGGAATGGACCGTAAAAAATGAAAGCGGCGTGGGAATACGAGGCAGAACTCGTGCTCGTCTGCTGGAACCGACGACGGCATGGCAAGCATCGACAAGGGTGCGGTGAGGAGGCGAGGACGGGTTGCCCAGGCCAGCACCAACCCAACACACCACGACAAATGGGGTATCATCACACCGAGCGCCTCATGGTCATCAGGGCCAACACGATTAGTAACGGGCGAGACCGGATCACACCCTGCATATACTTGTTCCTTTTTACAATAACCGAACGCCCCGACGCCAATGCTATGCAGTGCCCGAGACGCACACAGCGCTCGATGCAAGGAAACAACACAGTCACGCATCGGTCAGAACCTTTAACCGGGTTAGTAGGGGAAAGGGGAGTGAGGGGAAGGGGAAAGGGGGGGGGGGGGGGGGGGAACGGAAACTGACCTGGTTTCGTAACTCCCAGCCCTCGTGATGTACCGCACCCATTTGAAACTCGAGTTGTTGCTCTTCTCAAACACCTTGAGGTAGGCCACCAGCAGACCAGAACTTGGGAACAGCAGCAGGTTAAAGTTCTACCCCAGGGGCGGGCGGCTCCAGGGCTTTTGGTTGGACGTGGGTGTCAGCTCGGCCTCGGCGCTGAGGACGAACTCGCTCTGGCCGGTGAAGCGGCCGATCTTCCAGACGATGTTGTTCTCGGACGGCTCGTATTTGGCCTTGCCCTGGGTGCAGCGCTCCGTGATCCGGGCCGTGTTGAGCGGCGTGGGGATGCGGACGACGACGTTGGTGGCGAACAGCTTGGAGCCAAAGTTGGCGCGCACGCCGATGCTGTACTCGACCTTGGTCTTGCCGACCTCGTTGACGATGGCGTGCACCTTGAAGGGCAGGTTGACGTTCTCGGTGGAGCGGTAGCGCATCAGCTCGAACTCGCCGTCGGGCGGCACGAAGCTGATGATGCGGTCGCTGTCGAACTTGCCCAGCTTGACGCACTGGTGAAACTGGCAGTCCTCGAGTGTGACGCTGCCCGCGGCCGCCTTGGTTGCCTTGCTCCCCATCCTATTACCGCTGGGGAGGCTCAGCAGCCCGTCGTTATCGAGCAGCAGGCGGTCGTTCAGCCCAAACTTGCACTCGGGTGTCCCGCTGAGGTAGGCGCGCATGATGATCTGGCCGGTGACGTCGGCGCGGAGCACGGCGCCGGTCGCGCTCATGAGGAGGTTCACGTCCTCGATGACATCTACGAACGCCTCGTTCTTTCGGTACTTGACGTCGGCCTTCCGCCACGACAGCGCGCCTGTCGCCTGCATGGTGATCTTGGCCGAGTCTTCCGGGGCGCGCTCCGTCTTGACACCCTCTGTCGTGATGTACATCTTGAGCGTGTCGGTCTCGGTGTTTTGGGGATAGCCGAAATCGATGATCTCTGTTGAGGGCGCGTGTTGTCAGCAAGACTTGCACAAGCCACAATCAGGAATGTGATTCCGGGGGGTCGTTGATATCCCGTACCATCCAGGAGCTCATAAACCAGAACGAAGTTGTTTTTAACAGCTTCCTCATCGAATTTGCCAAAGTAGCCACGGCCGAGCTGGATCAGGCGGTACAGGAACTCGAAGACGAGGGCGGCATTGGCGTTGCTCTTGGTGATGGCCACCAGATAGATGTTTTCGTGCTTGACATGGCTGAAGGTGGTGCTGCCGAGGGTCAGGATGGGCGACCGGACTTGGGCGTTGCTGATGACCTGGATGCGGAAGACATCGGCGAGTCGTGGGCGGCAGTCGTTGCGGAAGGCCCTGAAGATCAGGTTCTCGCCCTTTTGGTTGAAGACGAGGATGCCCGACAACATGGCGGCGGGTTTTTGGCGGCTTCGGCGTTGGGGGGTCGCGGTCGCGGTCGATGGCCAGAGGTGGTGATGATGGCACGACCACGATGTGGAGCTGGTTCGATAGGAGACACTTCGAATGGGGGAGCTCAGCGTCGCAAGTGGATGGTCGCATGCGGGCAGGGCAGAATTCGCTGTCTGGAAATTGGGGATCCATTGGGGGGTTGGGCGGTGAACTGGATGGACAGGTGGCGGCAGCTGCTAACACTCTTTGCTCAACTGGCGATGCAACGACTCCAATTCGTGAAACCTTCGGACCATTTTGTCCGCCTTCATCTTTCGATTCGGCTCCAGAATGGTTTCGAGGCAAAAGACAAATAAATGTGCAACTCTATCTGCTACCACGAATAGCTGCTGTGAAAGCAATCAAGTTGCCTTGCACTATTTGCATTGGCTTTTCGAAAAACCCAGTCACCTCTTCTTCCCCGTAACACACGCACAGCATCATGGCCATCATCCAACTATTTTGACCATCAACAGGTTGGCAGAGCCAATGCTTAGCGGCGTCGAATTACCATCAACACCATGTCGCTCAACCGCATCGGATCCCATCATGGTGAAACTCCGCTAAGCTGGATGGAGATTCGGGGTCCTACCCGTGATCGCAGATCGATGCTGGTTGTCCCAATCAGTTGAGGCAACCAATCAGGAAGAAACAGCAGCGAGCATATGATGTCATGGGGGATGCTTGGTGTGAGCCGATAGCCCTGGCTGAAGTGTCTCGTCAGGAACAACCGAGGAAATGTTAATATAAGGTATCCGAAGGATCCATGTTACGTTCGAGGGGTAGCATTTCGTAACTCAGGTTGCCCAGCACCACTTTACTAAGATACCTATCGACTTGAACTATCACTTCCGTTTCCGTTGTTGCCCATCCTTGTGTTACCTATCCCACGAACATCTGATTATTCGCCTTCGATATGGATGCTGCGGAGATGGTTTCGGAAGGGAAACTCAAGGTAGGTTGGAACTCAAGGGTTTAGAAATTACAAAACCTCAAGTGTAAAACTAACACCATTGTAGCAAGGTTTCTTCCTCGCAACCCTCGTCTCAACGGTAGCCGGCACTTTCATTACCAGCATAAACCTATACGACCGTCTCATCGAGCAACGCCGCCAAAAAAAGCTGGATCGGGGGCAGAATAAGAGAATCAAGGAACTCGAACAGCGTCTGAACGAAGCCGAAGAGGAGAAGGAGCGCATCAAAGAAGAGAGCACAAAAGGTAGCGGGACTGGTGATGGAGATAATGAGTTTCGGAATTCGCTCCAACAAAACGGCAAGATGGTCCAGAACGAGTACAACCGATATTTCGCAAACCTAGGACCGAAGTTTGCCGAGGGAGACTGTAAGTCTTTACCATCGTCATCTTGATTGTGAGAAACATAAACGCTAACATCCCCATCCAGTGGTCGCCCAAAACCAAATCCAAAGCCAAATCATCCTCCTCCAGGGCAGCGTCATCAAGCTCCTCGAAGAAGCCATCCTCACCGGCAAAATGCCCGACCTCAACCGCCTCTACAACACCTCCGAGTTCGCGCGCGAGAGCAGCATCCGCGCCCTACGCGATCAGTACCAACGCCTTCTCCGATCCCCACCCCCCGTCCAACAACAACAACAACAACAACAACAACAACAACAACGACGACGACGACCCGGCGGTCCCATGCGGCGGATCTCCTCCACCCCTTCCCTCCGGGGCGACCGCTCCACGACCGACTCGGTCCGGAGCCAGGGTGGCCACGCGCTGCAGAAGGCGCTCGCTCACCCCAGCAACGCCGGCGCGCCGTTGTTTTGTCGCTGCGCCAGGGAGCTGCAGCAGACTAGCAGGCCGCTGGAGAGCGTCATTGCGGTTGACCGCGGGGCGGCGGTGTGTGCGGGGTGTGAAGCTAGGGTTGATGATGATGGGGATGATGGGGCGGATGGGTGCCGGTCGTGGAGGGTGGAGAAGGAACTCGCTGTGAGGGGGGGCCGCCGCGGGTCGCTGAGGGACGATCGTCTGTCTTCTGTGGGCGGCAGGGG